ATTGTAACCCTCTTACCCTTTCCCTGTGCCCACAGGGGCGCCTGGCACATAGGGGGAGCTCCGTAAGTATCTGCTGTGGTGGCATTGCTTGCGGTTGAGGGGCTGGGGCCCCAGAGCCAGAGTGCTGGGTTCAAATCCGCCCTCTCCATATTTCCCTTCTCTTCCCGCTTCTTTACCCTACCCTAACCAAGCCCACCTCCAGCAGGCCCCATCCCTGCCCCCTCCAGAATCTGGCCAGAAGCGGCCCATCCCCCTCCCCATCACTGTCCCACCCCGCCATCCCGATTCCCACCCTGCTCCCATGCCTCTCCCTCCTCCCCTCTTCCTGCCTCCCACCCCAGTCTGTTCCCCACCGGAAGCCAGAGGGACTTTTTCCAGACCTGACACCCGGCTCTGCTTCGTGCTGTCCGAGTGGCTTTGGGCAAGGGCCTGAACTTCTCTGGGGCTCGCTTTTCCTGTCTGTCAAATGGGGACAGTGATAGCACTGGCACAAAGTGGGGCTGCCGTGAGGACTGAATGAGTTCATCCGCAGTGCTGAGCACACAGCCTGGTATGTGCTGCGTGCTGGTGCGTGGTTCAGTTACTGTCCTAGCTATCAGGCCCGCCTGGGCTAGACTCTTGCTCTGTCACTCACTCAGTGTGGCCCTTTGCACAAGTCACTTACCCTGTCTGAGCCTCGGTTACCACATCTGTGACGTGGAGATAGCCTCTTGCTTCTCAGGGTTTTGTCAGGCACCTGCCCTAGCCCCGTGTTAGGGGCGAGGGGTTCATGCATGAACAAGACGAAGCTCCGCCCCTTGGAGGCACACATTTGAGTGGGGAGACGGTGAACAAAATAAAACAGCTAATATGTCAGCCGGCGCTGAGTTCTCGATGTAAGTGAAGCAGGGAAGGGGGTGGGCGGCAGGGGATGTCCCTGCTGCCGAGGGACATGCGGTTGGAGACAGGATGGTCGGGTGGGAAGGCACCACAGAGCCAAGACCTGGCGGAGGGGAGGGGGGGAAGCATCCAGGCAGAGGAACGGCCGGAGCAGAGGCCGTGAGGTGGGAGCGGGCCTGGTGTTTCCGGTGAACATTGAAGCCCGTGTGGCTGGAGCGAACAAGTGAAGGAGGGCATGAAGGGAGACACAGAGACCTTGTTGGTAAAAGGCTTGGTACAGGATTCTGTTCACAGTAGCCCAAGTACATAGTAGCCATCAGTGTATCGTCACTGTTATTTGGATGGACACATGACGGGCAGACAGAGCCTGCCTGCACTAGACTGGGTGGCCCATCTGACACCAAAACCAGCGCCTCACTGCCGCGAGAGGAGAGCACCTGCAGAATGAGTGAGGCTCCCCACTCTTCCCCTGCAGCGTCAAAGCGGAGGATCCCGGTGTCCCAGCCGGGCATGGCTGACCCCCACCAGCTTTTCGATGACACAAGTTCGGCCCAGAGCCGGGGCTATGGGGCCCAGCGGGCACCTGGAGGCCTGGGCTACGCGCCAGCCTCTGCATCGCCCCAGGAGGCCTTCCTGGCCGATCCTGTGTCCAACATGGCCATGGCCTACGGGAGCAGCCTGGCCGCACAGGGCAAGGAGCTGGTGGATAAGAACGTGAGTTCTGGGCTGGTGGGCGTCGGGGGAAGGCGGGGGCCATGAGGCCGGGGCTTCAGGCTTGGGCTCTCCCTCCCCCCAGATTGACCGCTTCATCCCCGTCACCAAGCTCAAGTATTACTTTGCCGTGGACACCATGTACGTGGGCAAGAAGCTAGGCCTGCTCTTCTTCCCCTACCTGCACCAGGTCAGCACTGCCTCCACCGAGGGGAACACGGTCTGAGGAGGGAGGGCCTCCGGGTGGGGGTGGAGGGTACAGGGTGAGTCAGCGGCCGGCCGGTGTGAGGGAGGGGCAGGCTGGGTGGGTTTGCCTCAAGGGAGGGTCTGGAGGCCGTGCGGCAGGAGCCCAGCTCTGGGGGTCCTGCTGCTCCCCCCACTCTCCCCACAGGACTGGGAAGTACAGTACCAGCAGGACACACCAGTCGCCCCCCGCTTTGACGTCAATGCTCCTGACCTCTACATTCCAGGTTTCACCCTCCCCGTCTCCGCCCGGCACCCTCCTCCCTCTGGGTGGGCACGTCTAGGGCAGAGGTGTAGGTGCCTAGTGGCCCAGGATGGTCCGTCTTCCTCTGACCCGTGTCTGTGTGTCTGCCTCCCACAGCTATGGCTTTCATCACCTATGTCTTGGTGGCTGGCCTGGCGCTGGGGACCCAGGATAGGTAAGGGAGGCCTGGAGTAGGCAGAGCGGGGTGAGGGCTGGGGGGCTGAGGGGCAGTCAGGAAGGTGTCTTGGATCTCCTCTCTCAGGGCAGCGCCACCGTGCTCCCAGTCAGCCTGGCACAGGGCCCTTGGTGTCGCCCTCAGAGTCAGCCTGCCCTCCTCCCTCGCTTTCCACCCATGTGTAGCCTGTCACCACACCTGTAGTGGGCGACTCTAACTCCATCCTCCTTCTTAGCCTCCATCACCAGATCACGCTTGTCCTCACTGCCTCCTAACCAGCTTGCCCTGCCCACATCCCCTCGGCAACGGCTAAAGGTGTTGTTGGGATGCGGGCCTGGCCAAGTCCCACCCTGCTCAGAAGCTGCCCGTAGCTCTCCCCTCCCCAGATCAAGCCCTGGCCCCTTAGTCTGGCACTCCACGGCCTCCACACAGCCTCGCTCTGCCCCTCCTCGTTCTGCTGTGCCACTCTGGGCCTCTTTCCATCCTCCAGAGGGCCTGGTGCTGCCTCTCCGGGGCCTTTACTCAGGAGTATGTTACTTCCCTGCGTCACCTGCTCAGCACCTGCTCACTTGCAACGTCTCCACTCTGATGGCACTTACTCGGGGAAGCCTTTCCATCCCCCAGCCTGGGCCAAGCCCCCACCTCTTGCTCATAGGCCCCAGTTCATTTCTTTTGTGGCATCAAAAACAATTGTCATTAGAACCCATTAATTGCTGAGGCACTGGGGATATGGCAGAGACCATGGCCCTTCTTCCCCAGTCAGCTGCTTATTCCTTCAGGCCTCAGCTCAGGTATCCTCTCCTCTGGGAAGTCTTCTCTGATACTTTCTCCCAGCTGGGTCCAGCAACTCCCCTGCCCTGTGCTTCCCTCATCCCAGCCCTCGCTTCTCTGGGCTGTCACTGAGGACAGGTCAGCCTTCCCTGGGATGACATTTCCATGCGGGCAGGGTCCAGATCCATCTTGGTCACTGTTGAGTCTCTAGACCCACCCAACACAGGCTGTCTGCAGGTGGATCCTCTGGGAGGGTGGGAGCCGGTCAGCCAAGTGACAGAGCTTGGTGCCGGCAGGTTCTCCCCAGACCTCCTGGGGCTGCAGGCGAGCTCTGCGCTGGCCTGGCTGACATTGGAGGTGCTGGCCATCCTGCTCAGTCTCTACCTGGTCACTGTCAACACCGACCTCACCACTATCGATCTGGTGGCCTTCTTGGGCTACAAATATGTTGGGTAAGTACCCCTCCCCCTTCCCCCTTGCCAGCCCCAGCCCTGAGCCCTCTCCCTCAGACCAGCCTTCCCCTCTCCTCCCAGGATGATTGGCGGGGTCCTTATGGGCCTGCTCTTTGGGAAGATTGGCTACTACCTGGTGCTGGGCTGGTGCTGCGTGTCTATCTTTGTGTTCATGGTGAGCTGGGGTTCAGGGGAGGATGAGGCTTGAGGGCACAAGCCCTCAGAGTAGGGGTCCCCTGGAGGCATCCAAGCAGAGGATGTCAGGTTGGGAATTGATACAAGAGGCACATTGCTGCACTGAGCAGCCTTGGGGTGGCTCCCCGAGCCTGGGAGTCAGGAGAGCTTCCTGGAAGAGGGGGTGTCCAAGCTGGGCCTGAAAGAAGAGAAGGAGCCCCGCTGGGCTGTTAAAGTGGGCTCTTGCCCTCACTCCACACTCCTTACATGGTGGGCTTTCCTGCCACAACGTCTGTTAGGATGAAAAAAGTTTCAGTACCCCTGGCAGTAGCTTCTCTGGGTCCCAGGCAAATCACTTCCCCTCTTTAACCTTGTTTCCCCTTTTGCAAAAAGGGGAATAATTGCATCTCAGGGTACTGGGAGGATGCAGTGTGAGCATATGTGAGGAGCAGAGGGCAAAAACTGACCAAGTCTGACCCTCAGATAAACTTTGGCTTAGATGTCATTATTTAAAAGTTTGGTTTTTTTTTTTAAAAGCATCCTGGCTTGTGTTGAAAAATTGTCCTCGGGCCAACATAAGCCGGTGGCAGCAGCCATGGCTGAGCCCAGCCACTTCTTCAGGCAGGGTGTGCCCCACGAAGTCCCCATCTCACTCAGGGGACTCTCCTGCCGTTGGAGTTTGGAACCCTCACGTTTTCTCACAAGGTTTGGGTAGGAGGAAGTCCTCGCCATCTGTTTGGAGGTTTGGGGGGAACCCGGGCTCCCCACGAGCAGAAACTTGAGCCCAGCCACCCCCGTGGAGGAAGAGAGGCAGGGCTTGGGAGCACACCCAGGCGCCCCGCCCTGGCCGACGACTCAGGGTGAACCCCCCTCCCGCCCCAGATCCGGACGCTGCGGCTGAAGATCCTGGCGGAGGCAGCGGCCGAGGGGGTCCCGGTGCGCGGCGCCAGGAACCAGCTGCGCATGTACCTGACCATGGCCGTGGCGGCGGCGCAGCCCCTGCTCATGTACTGGCTCACCTTCCACCTGGTGCGGTGAGGGCGACCCGGCCCCCGCCTCCAGCTGCTGCTCCGGGCGGCCGCGCCCGCCTCCCCTCTGCCCGTCGCCCCCGGGGGCCCCGCCCCCGCCCTGGCACCGGCGCTGCCCCCCTCCCGAGACCCCGCCCCCTCCCCTCGCCGAGGTGCTGAGATCTCCAGCTGCACAGGCCGCCCCGCAGTGCGGCCGCTGTTCAGGAAACAATAAACCGTGATGGGCACGGCGTGGGCGGCCTCTCCTTGGCGGCGCGCGCGGCTGCCCGGCAGGGGGCAGGCCAGGCCGGGGCAGGGGGGCAGGGGGGCAGGGGGGCGGGCGGGGCGGGGCCGGCACACCACAGCACCTCGAGACCGGAAGGCGGCCGTCCGGCCGAGAAAAGGTTTAATGAGACCCCCGCCCAGGTGGGTCAGTGAGGAGACTCTTTCTTCGCCTTTTCTTTCTTCTTCTGCTTTTTCACCTTGGGTTTCTTGACCTTGCCGGCTGTGCTTTTGTGCTTGTCCGACGCGGCAGCGTGAGGCTGTGGGGCCGAGGGCGGTGGGGATGGGAGAGGGGAGAGACGGTTCCACCGGTGGAACGATCGCCCGGCATGTGGGCCGGGACTCTGCCCTCACCTGGAATGCCGGTGGGAGCGGGGAAAGCCTCTTACCTTTGCTTCCACGTCCGAGTCGCCGGAGCTGCTGCTGCTGCTGGAGTCTGAGGAGCTGCGGTGACCGTGGCCATGCTAGTTGGAGGCAGGACAGTGAGGCCAGGACCCCTTACCCCGCCCCCAGGTTGGAAGCCCCAACGCTCGCGGGACCCTGGGTTCAAAGGCAACACCCCACCTTCACACCGGGAGGCGCGTGCCTGGTCCTGAGGTGACTTACCTTCGGTTTATCTGCCGCCCCGGCCTCTGACGGGCCCTGAACTTTGGGGGTGCTGTGTTTGTGGTCTCCCACCTGGGCTGTCCCCTGTGGCTTCTTGGAGGTGGAGTCCAGGGCTGTGGAGAGAGAAGTCGGGTGGGCTGGTCCAGGCGAAGGAGATGCGCCCTTGGAGGAGGTTTCTGGGTTTCCATCTGGCCCCCTGCCCCTCAAACTCCCCACCTCCCTGGAGCGCACCTGCAGCCAGGTCGAACTCCATGGTGAGAGAAGGTATGTGGGGAGCGCCAGGAGGGCCTTTGTAGTGCCAGGAGGGCAGAGGGAGGGGTGTGGGGAGGAGCATGGGAGCTGCCTGCCCCAGGACTTCTGCGGAGCCCCACCCAGCCTTGTTCAGAGTCCTTAGCCTTGACTCACAGCCCCTCCCCAGGACCACCCAACTTTTTCTCTGTGGGAAATGGGGATTTCCTCAGTTAATTGTTGTATTTCCACCCCACCTGGTGGACTTGGCAAGTGAGGGGGGACCGTGTGGATGGGTTTGGGAGGGCAGTGTATGAGCAGCTAGCTGTAGACCTCTGGGGAGGGGGCTAGAACTGTCATCTGCTTCCCTCAAAAGGGTCAGATGCCTGCTTTTGAAGGAACGAGAGGGAGGGTGCCTCCCCGTGCCCTATGTCCCGTCATAATGCTAACACTCCCTGTGTACTTACCACATGCCAGGCACTGTTCCAAAGGTTTCACACTCATGAAGTCACTTTCAACGACCCCTGGATGGATGGCTCTGTGAGCAGCAGTGTCCAAAGGGGTGAAGAGCATGAACTTGGAATAAGCCTGCTGGATTAGAAGCCCCACTGTACCACTTAGTAGTGGTGTGAGCTCAGGAAAGTTGCTTTGCCTCCCTGTGCCTCGGTTTCCTCATCTGTAAATGGCAGCTACCATATGGGGTTATAGTAAGGATCAAAAAGATTAGTTTCCTACGACTGTGCCTGGCACAGAGTAAGTGCTTGTAAAATAATGTTTTGGTTTGTTCAGTTAAAAGGTGGGTATTGTTATTATCCCTGTTTTACAGATGAGAAAACCGAGGGACCAAACATTGAAGTAAGATGATGAACGGCAATGTAGTGCGAATGGGCTAGAAGTGGGATTCACACCCAGACAGTGTGGCTCACGGCCAAGGCTCTGCCTGGTTCCTGTGGCTCACCTGGTGAACGCTCAGGGGAAGGGACAGCCCCTGAATCCAGTCTGCCCTCCTCGCGCCGGGCCTGGCCAGTCGGTCCGAGGGCGAAGCTGGGAGACCTGAGCCATCTGTTCCCATTGCTGTGAGGCTGTGTCCTTGCGGGTCCCTCCCTGGCCCAGCCCTGCCACCAGGAGCTGGGCTGCCATACCTGCAGGAGCGGGCAGGCAGGGCTGGCATCCAGGTGGCAGTGATGACTGAGGCCCGGGGATGATGATGAACGGGGGGTGATCAGCCTTGTGCACTGCGGCCTCTGCTCCGGAGTGGGTTCCTCAGAGGGGCCTGCTCTCACTGCCGGCTCCACGTTGCCCGTCCCTTTAACCTCTTTCCCCTGCTTGATGGTCAGCATAGTCCTTGCTTACTTCTATCTGGAGTTATCCTTATTCTCAGTTCCTTCACCGTGTATCTGTTGAGTACCTACTATGTGCCTGGCACAGTCCAAGTGCTGGGGATACAGAGGTAACAAAATCAAAAATTCCAGCCTCATGGAATTGAGATTCCAGTGGGGGAAACAAAGTAAAATGTACAGAATGTTAATTTTTTTTTTTTTTTTAACGTTTGAGAGAGAGAACAGAGTGTGAGCAGGGGAGGGACAGAGAGTGGGAGACACAGAATCCAAAGCAGGCTCCAGGCCCCGAGCTGTCAGCACAGAGCCTGACACGAGGCTCGAACTCACAAGCAGTGAGATCATAACCTGAGCCAAAGTCGGACGCCCAACCGACTGAGCCACCCAGGCGCCCCATAAAATGTACAGAATGTTAGAAACAAATGGAAACTAAGATGTCCCATCAGCTGGTAAATGGACATAAAATGTATCTATACTGGGATGTTACTCAGCCATAAAAAGGAACGAACTGACGTATACCGCATCACACGTGAACCTCAAAAACATGCGAGGTGAGAGGTGCCAGACACAAGAGACTACGTATTGTAGGATGTCACTCATGGGAAGTGTTCCGAGAAGGGCTATTGAGACGGCAGGTTAGCCATTGCTGGGAGCTAGCTGCGTGGAGAACGGGGACTGACTTTGTAACTGAGCATGAGAGATCTTATTGGGGTGGGGATGAAAACATGTTCTAAAACTGACTGATGGTGATAATTGCACCACTTGGTAAAATTATTAAAAACCACTGAGGTGCACATTTGAAATGGGTGAGTTTTATGTAACTCACACCTCAATAAAGCTACTTTTTAAAAAGTAGTATGTGCTAAGAAGAAAAATGCTGCCAAAAAGGGGGCTAGGTAATAACTATATGGTCTGTTGGGAAGAGGCTGGATTTCAGATAAGAATTAACAGGGAAAGCTTTGAGTAAAGATCTGGATGAGGAGGTAAGCAAATGCAAGCACATTAAGTGTTGTAGGCAGCAGGAATGGTAAGTGCAAAGGTCCTGAGGCAGGAATGTACCTGTGTGATGAAGAGCTGCAAGGAGTTCAGAATGGCAGTGAGAATGGAGGGGGAAATGTAGGTCGGGAGGGACGGACAGTGGGGGAACTCGTACATCAAAGATCTTTGATCTTTACTCTGAGTGAGAAGAGGTGGTGAATCATGATTGTGGCTTTGCCCACAACTAGATGCAGGATATGAGAAAAAATGTTTCTCCAGGCAAAACGTAAATTCCACGTGGGTTGGAGACCTTGTCTGCTTTGCTCAGCACCCAGAAAGGGTGTGTGCTGTCATTTGGTGAATTAGCGAGGTTACCTGATGCCAGGCACTCTACTAATGTGATGGCAGGTTACAGCAGGCAGAGTGGCTATGAGCATGGGTTGTGGAGGTCAGTCTGCTCACAGGTGAGTCCTCACTGTCTCTCTTCTTGCTCTGTGGACAATTACGTCAACCACTCTGCCTGCTCTGCCCTCTGTACGGTGGAAGACTTCCCTCGGAAAGTGATGGTTTTGCCTGGCACAAGGTAAGTAGATGCTCAATAAACGGTAGTTTGTATTATTCACAAACACAATCTCCTAAGATTACTCATTAAACTGGCAGTAGGATCCCATGTTCTATATGAGGCAGTTGAACCTCAAAAAGATGGTTTTACACCCAACGACACTGAGCTAGTAGGTTGCAGAGCAGTAGTGGGAGGCCTTCCAGACACAAGATGAAGTGGCTGGCTTTTTACTACTTTGCTAAGATTGTGGGGAGGGTGAGTGGCTCTGGGGAAGGGCACGGCCTGATCCTCCAAGTTCCCCTCTGTTCGCTCCTGACTGTATCGTACTAACTGTATTGCAGTTAGGGTGTGGAAAAGAGCGGAAAGCGTTAACGAGATAGCTTCACTTTTCTCTCCCACAGAATCACTCAGGGACCCGGGCTCCTTCCTCTGTCCTGTATCCTTCCAGGGATGCCCTTGGACATACAGGGAAGCTGGCTTCCATCACTGGGTTGTTGGGAAGGGAAAGGGCAAATGGAGGGCACACCAACTCCTTTAAGGACCTCACTCGGAAATAGCACATGTCCTTCTTGCCAGGTCAGACACATGGTCACGTCTAGCTGCAGGGGAGACTATGATGACCTCCCAGCTCCTAGCTGGGTAGCCATGTACCGAGGTAAAACCTGGGGACTTTCCTGGAAGAAAGAGAGGGAAAACAGACGCGGGATCCTGTCACTACTCCCTATTGGTGGCAGTGAATATACACTTACTCCCTTGCTTTAACCCAGAAGATTGACAAATGGACACCAGATTAAAGCCTGGAAGGTGAACACAAATGCCTGATGAGAAACAGGTGAGGGCTAAAGATTGTCCTGCTTCTGAGAAAATAATCCCTCCATTGAGTATTTGTGTACCATGCTAACAGGTGCGGGGACAGTAGCTTATGTCTCCCCAGGCCCTGCCTGCCCCTGATCTCTTAACAGCTCTGCCCTCCTGTGTTTCCACATTATTTCTGCCTAAAATGACTTGGTTCTGAGGGTGCAAGCAACCCCTTCTTTGTAGGAAAAAGGGACTTGTATCCCCAACTGTCCTGCAATATGGTCATTCACTACTAAATCAGCTTACCCTTCCTCTAACATTTCTCCAGCTGACATTCTTTGGAGAGTCACGGAGGCCCTAAAGCTTTTATTTAATCACTGCAATTTATGAAGAGGTTGCTGGATGCCAACTTTAGTGGCCAGGGAAGCCAAGGGGGAGTGGGCTGCTGGGATACAGTCCTCCGTGGGGGTCCTGTGCTCCTCATCTGAGGACTGACCTTGCTCATTGGAAAAGTAACTGCTGTGCAAGGTCTGCTTTCATCTCTTTCCTGAAGTTGACATGAACAGAGTGTCCTGGTGCTATAAACATCATAATCCCTGTTCTGGAATATTTTCTTTGAACTTAACCACATCCCAGGAGATGGAGGACTTTAAGCACACAGTATGTAGAGACTGTTTACTTTCCCACAGAAGTGCTGCACTGGCCCTGTACATTCTGGAAAACTAATGACCAGAACATCTTGATGGGCCACCCTTTGGGATGTGCCAAGGGGCTGACAGCCCGGCCAGGGAAAGCCAGGCTTGGCCACCACTCAGCTGACTGTTGTGTCTGGGATTTGATTTCACTCTATTTGCAAGCCAGTAAGTCAGCCTGTAACTGTTTCCAAAATGCTGGCAGAAGCCTTGAGATTCCTGGGTCAGTGACAAAAGGCTCTATTACCGCAAGCAGCTTAAAGCATCAGCTTGTGTCGGGTTCCTTTGCCCGATGGGGGCAATGAGTTGCATTACAACAGCAGAGCTTGGGGAACCTTCTGCTTCACAGGAAGCAGCAAGCAAGCCTGCTCTTTGTCCTAGAGGGAGCCATTACCTCATCCCGAAAGGCACTCCCTGCAAACCCAACCCTGAGAAGTGGCCCAGGTAACCAGCTGGCAGGGTCACATATTCTTGGCACACCCAGGAAGCCTTGTAGCTGCATGAGACACACCTCTCCTGACAAGCCACCCCTCCTGGCTCCTGGTGAATTTTCACACGAGTATGCCACCCTGATTAATCATCTAACAGAACCCGAGATCGAATCACTGTTTGTCTCACGCAGCATTTAAAGCAATCTCAACAAGACTCCAAGCAGCGGTGAGTCCTGTTGATAGGAGGCCGGCCTGTCGGTGAGTCCTGTTGATAGGAGGCCGGCCTGTCGTCGAGCCTCCAGCTGTGAAGCAGCAGGGCCTACGTCAGGATGGAGTCCAACACTAATCTTATCATCCATTAGGATCCACCCGAGGGACTTCAGACTGACCTCGGTTCTTTGGCGTCATTACCAATTACAAGGCCCAAAAGCAACCCTTGTGCGCAATGGGGAGACATTATGGCTCGTTCTTTCCCACATGTCAACACACGGATTACTGGAGCACAGGGCACTGATTCTGGTTCAGGATTGGCTAAACCTGACTTGAACACCAGCACATGGGCAGTGCCACGGAGTACTGTAGCCTCAATCACTATGTACAGCATAAGCCACGGCTCCCTGGGCATCTGAAGTGTGTGATTTTGTTATCAGCCAGAGTGGAACGAGTCTGTGCAGGTCCGTGTGTTTGTAAACGTTGCAGGGTGGGGATCACATTCAGGAGCTGCTGCTGATGGCACCGGGCACAGCAGAAACGCCCAGGACAGGCCACACTGCCAGGTGCAGGGTTCAGCAGGCCAGGTGACTGGCAGGCTGTGGTGTTGGACCTCCAGGACGGAGCACTGGTTGCAGCTCCTACCATCAGGGTCTAAGGTGTTCTGTCCCTGAGGGTTTCCTGTCCAGTAGGTATAAATTTGCTTCTTAATATTTATTTTTGTGAAAGAGAGACAGAGACAGAGCACGAGCTGGGGAGGAGCAGAGGGAGGAGACACAGAATCAGAAGCAGGCTCCCGGCTCTGAGCTGTCATCACAGAGCCTGACACAGGGACTGAAGTCATGAGCTGAGATCGTGACCTGAGCTGAAGACGGAAGCTTAACTGACTGAGCCCCCCAGGCACCCCATGTCCCAGTAGGGATAGCGTCACCTCTTCTATCACCTACTCACACCTTAGACCTTTTGTTTGTAAAGGTCACATGAGAATGAACTAGTAGCATGTTTACAAAGTTACAGCAACGACATGGACCACTGCAGGAGATTTGGTATGCAGGGCACTCAACGACCAAGTGGTCCCAGTCTTCATGATGCAGGACCAGTCATCCCAGGGAGAATCCAAACAGACTCTTCAAAATTAACTCCAATCTCTGAGGGCCCTTGTGGTCAGCCTGCCCACCCCCCACCCCCCCCCCCCGAGGATGCACCAATCAGGAGGGCTTGACATTAGGGGGGAAAGACGCACCATATGCAGCAGTGAGGAGGAAAGAATCCCAAATTTTCCAAACAGTTTATGTAGCTCCCAGCCCCTTTGACTTGGTCTTTACCCAGGAGATGGCCTAGAAATAATGGTCCCATTCTAGGGACAGCTACAGTCAGTGAACAAATGGCCTTACTAAAGTGTATACACCAGGAGGAGACAGTGACAGGTCTTTGTTGAGTTGATTTTTTAAAAATCCATTCCACCTCTTAGTGATACCAGGAGCCCAAGGATGACAAAGGCTGTGAAATGACCACTGAATGCCTTGGCTACTGGCCCACTGCTGGGCAGCCTTTCCAACAAACATTGTTAGCCAATACTGTTAGCCTGTAGATGGTCCAGAGAGTCGAAAACAGGCACAGTCTAGTTTCAAGGGCCACAGTGGCCCGGCAGGAGTTGACTGACCACACGGGAACAGTGGAATAGTGAGACACCACAGGCAGACCAAGAGGGGTCCAGAGGTCCAATGTAGTCAATCAGCCGGGAGCAAGTGGGGCCGTGGGGGCCTCCCAAACCACGAGACGCATGGGACACATTTCCGCACAAGTGAGTCAGAGTGACAACTTCTGTGTCAGAAACATAAAGAGTACACTGTATGAAAAACCTACAAAAGCTCAACTGGTCTTGATGGTGTTAAAGAGAATTCACTTGATGATCTTCCTACTGCGGAAGAATTACTTTAAAGTGACTCCCAACAGTTTCTTTTAAAATCCAAAAACAACTCTTTTCTTTCACGTGACTCAGTTATGAAGGAGAGACAACTCTTGTTTATGTAGGTGGAAAGGTCCCCTGGTCAGCCAGAGGCATCATTGGACTCAAGGTCCCACACAGGAAGCCATGAGTGGGTTTGAGGGTGGCGCATGGAGTGGCAGGGGGGTGTAGGGGAGAGCTGCTGGCTACTGAGGAGGCAGAGGTGGACACCAGCCCCATGAAGGAGGCGCCCCTGCTGAGCACTTACTTTGGGCAACCTAATACCTGTGATCTCATGTGGCCCTCACACCCACCCACGGCACAGGTGAGGAAGCTGGAGGTTCAGAGGAGTTGAGCGGCCTGCTCGCTGCTGCACACCTGGAACAGTGGGCGGAGAGTCTCTTCCCAGTTTCAAGGTCCTCTTTGCCTGGACCACAGGCTCTCCCAGAGCTGGGTCCCAATTTATCTGGGACATGGCAGGCAGGTTTCAGCTGCTCACCATCATCTCCGAGGCTAGACTGCCAAGCTGCCTAGAATGCTTGGCAGGGAGAGGCCAGAACCAACAAGCAAGGTCTTCCACAAATGAGGAAGGCTTTTGCCCAACTTTCCTCTGAATACATTTCTAAGCCCAACGGGATGCAAGTCTTTACCCTAATGCACAGAATGTGAACTTTTTAGCCTGAGGGGATTTTTAGGAAGGGTGAAGGGAAGGGGACCAAAGCAACTTCCAAAACTGTCACCTCTATCCAGTCCCAGACTGAGGCCCACCTTACCTCCTTGAGTCACCTCCACAGGTAGAAGCCCCAGACCGCCTGCCTGACCCCATGGGTCGCCCTGATGCTGCTCCATGCTCAGGACTATATGTTTGGAAGATGGGGAGGAAGGAAGGGCTTCCAGAGTCTAGAGACAGGAAGGGAACACTCACAGGTAGGCACAACTGGGGCCAAGTCTGGAAGCCAAATTCAGCCAGGCAGTACCCTGTCTTCATTTCATTGCAGGGGCACGTGGGAGACCTGAGGAAGGTTGCAGAGCTACAGGAAAAGATGAAAACCATGGATGCCAAAGTGACTGGAGTCAAAACCACTCCAATCTCAGGAAGGTCTGTCTTCCCCTGGATAGGATGCCTCCTCACTCCCACCCTCCTGTGCCCTCAAGGTGTGGATTACAGTTCATAGTGTCTCATTATTTAAAAAATAAAAAAATAAAAATTGGGGCACTGGGGTGCTCAGTCAGTTAAGCGTCTGCCTCTTGACTTTGGCTCTGGTCATGATCTCACGGTTTGTGGGTTCAAGCCCCACATCGGGCTCTGTTCTGACAGTGCAGAGCCTGCTTGGGATTCTCTTTCTCTCCCTCTCACGTGTTCTCTCTCTCTCAAAACAGATAAATATACTTAAAAAAATAATTATTAAAAACAAATCAATTCAGTAGGGTATGGCTAGAATTTTTTTTTTTTTTTTTTTTTAAGTAGGCTTCACCCCCAGGATGGAGGCCAATGCAGGGCTTGAACTCACAACCCTGAGATCAAGACCTAAGCTGAGATCAGGAGTCAGATGCTCAACCAACTGAGCCACTCAGGCACTCCTTAAAAAGTGAAACAGAGTAAGGAAATATCAGAGATTACCACAGGTGGTAAGGCTAAGTGATCAAATTTTTAAATTTTTAAAAAATGTTTATTTTTGAGAGAGAGTGAGTGTGAGCAGGGGAGGAGCAGAGAGACAGGGAGACACAGAATCCCAAGCAGGCTCCAGGCTCTGAGTTGTCAGCACAGAGCCTGAGGCAGGGCTCAAACCCACAAACCATAAGATCATGACCTGAGCCAAAGTCAGATGCTTAGCTGACTGGGCCACCCAGGTGCCCCTGTTTGGTCAAATTTTATAGGCATTCAGTTGCAATGTAAGATGCATTTCATTCAGAAAGATCTGAAAGATGAGTTTTTTTTTTTAAGGAGTTCATTTCTAGAATGGGACATCTTACATAGTATCCTGTGTTAATTTTGGTAGAGTTTAAATCAGCAGTCCCATAAAGAAAAAAAAACACTTGCTGAAATTTAAGGGAAGGCCCTTTTTATTAAGCTTGTACATTTTATTCTCTTCCTTTCAGAAGCCTAATAAAAAAAAACATTTGTTACTGCTTACTTAAAAAACACACACACACACACACAAATCAAAAAACAAAGAAAACTATTAAAACATTACTTCTGTGATGGGAAAAGACACTACAGGATTCAAGGTAAGCAAAGAAAACTAATACCTGGGGCAAAGAACTAAACTGAAGAGCAGCCGACTCTGGTTTGGGGCCAGACCACTTGCAATGTGAGACAGAACCCACCTCTGAGAGGGTTTTCGAAGCAGGCCCAGCCGGAAGACCAGGAAGCAGCCCTCTTACCTTCTGGAGAAATAAACAGACCCGAAGCCCTAATGATCGCACAAATACAAACCAATCACTCTACTTTAAAAAGCACACACACATTCTGCACTTGTCTCCCCTCCCTTCCCAGGTTCTCTTCATCAACAGGGACACCCGAGGAAGGGCGGCTTCTTGCTGGCAGGGCATTCACAGGACGTAGGTGTTCTTCACCAGCTGCTCCTTGTCGTCCCCAGAGCTCCAGACGGTGCGGAGGGTGCGCTCCTGGTTCCTCCGTGCCACCCGGATCAGGCAGACCACGGAGGCCCCCAGCAGGACAATCAGGACCATCACAAACAGCCCCACCAGGACCACCACTGGGGAGGAGAAAAAGGCCTCAGAACCGGCAGGATGAGAAGGACCACAGCCAGAGCAGGGCAGCACACAGTTCACGAAGGGTAAGGACTGGCAGCCCTTCTGCCAGACCCCCTGTGACTCCCACCTGGGAGGGTGTGGACAATTGGCACTGCCCGCCAGGGGAGTCCTCAAGGAATCTCTAGAGTCTGGAGAAGCAGGTTACTGAAAAAAGGAAGCGTCGTGCTATGTGCACACAGAGTGGGTATTTGTGTTCTCTCTGAACAAGGAAACCTCACTTCAACTCTGTATTTTCCTACCACCTCTCAGGGCAACCCATACAGGAGTCCCAAGCCAAAAACTGTGTACCATGATGTAAAAATCACACACCTCTGGCAAGTGTGTGAACATAAAACCCCAAGGTTTTGTGTTCACACGGCACACTGACCAGCTGGAGAAAGATGTGGCCCTGCAGGTGGCTGGGGTGGTTGGTTGCCTATGGAATGAAGTAAGGGTGGAGGCAAGGGCGTATTCGGAGCGGGGCCGGGAGGGGACCCTCGTGCTAATTGCCCAGGTAAATTTAACAGTGGTTGCTCCACTGCAGTCTCACTGGTCATCGAAGATGCTTTTTTTCAGGTGGGGCCCCACCTAAAGGATGTGGCCTTCTGTGACAGCTCCCTGGCTCCCTCTCCCCTTCTGGCTACAGAACTGACAGGGGCAATTCTTTCTCTACCCCCAACCTTCCAAACCCGGGCTGTTTTCTGCATCCCAGCGCCTGGCAAACCAGATTCTAGCTTCGCTCCTCCTCTAAAACAGCAGACATGCAGGCCAGGTCAGGGCTCCTTAACAGGGAAGTAGGTGGAAAGAGGTCAAACCAGTGTAGCAGGTCCTTTGTGCAAACACTACCATCCGTGACTCAAGCTCACAATCAGAAACAAAAGTGAGAGGAGGCCAGGTGTCTTGTCAGACCAGACTGCTTGGGGACAACAGCATTGGCCCTACCTCGCTCTGCCCACACACAGCAAGGGCTCTGCGGCTTCCTGTCACCAGGGACCAGCTCAGTACACCCCACAGCGGCAAAGTTCCCTCCAAACCTGGAGCCAGTCTCAGGCCCATGTGCAGCAGACCTCACAAGTCTTACTTACAATAATAGTAGGACTTGTCCTCCAGTCACCCTGGGGCTGCTTGGGCGGAGACCGCCTCCCTTCAGCCCCCACTCATTACACTGCATAGTGGGACAAACATCCACCATATGTTCCAAGCTGCCTGACCATTCTCGTGCAGAAACATGACTCTCAACCAAAAAAGGTGTTTACAGTGAAGGATTACGTGTGAGGACAACAAGAGCCTGCAAAATACAGCTGAGCTTGGTCAGGGAAAGCAGGTGGAGGAGGGCCAAAGGCTTCTTACCTTTAGTGCCATGGGGTAGGACAGGATACAACTGCTTGCCTAGAAGAGAGTACACAACCCTCAGGACAGCTCACAGCCCTCCCCACCAGAGCTGCCAGCAACTAGGTGTGCCCAGGAGGCTCTTTCTGAGGGGTTTCTTCCAGCTCTTTTGAGGGCCTTGCCACCCTGGTGGGGGCTTAGGACATGTCTGTGCAACAGCCGGGCCCAAAGCCCACCTGTTCCCCACAAGTGCGCCAGAGAATGGCAGAGTCCAACGGACAGCATTTCCAAGGCCTTCCTTTTAGGGATGGGGAAATGGACCAGTGGCCTCATCCACCCACCGTTTCTTGGCTTTAGGACTCAGCCAGGCTCACCAAAGCAGTGGTGCATGCACTCCTCCTTGGAGAGATAGCTGTTTTTATTGCCCCGGCACCCTCCGTAGATGAAGTTGTCACAAGAGTTCTTCTCCACATCAAAGTACCAGCGTGGGAAGGACGCACGGCAAGGCCCAGTGACTGCTTTGGCAGTGCAGTATTCTGAGAGTGACACAACCCAAGGAGTACAGATTAGCAGGGCCCAGGCGTGAAACAAAGCTGGAATGCTCCAGAGCAGTCACACTGCTGCCAACAGAGAAACAACTCTCTGCTAAAGGAACTTATAAATTACAGACGTGGCCAGTCTGGCCCAACTGACACTCCTCCATGTTTTCAAGTATCTTTCTCTTTACAGCCGGACTCTGTTGCTATAGAGATCACTCTAAGTCGGGCACTGTTCTTGGTCTCAAAGAGATCTGTCGTAAGGGACTCAGAGGCAGAGCTACAGTGATCTGCCCACAGCCATGCGGGTGGTGAGAGGCAGAACCTCACGCCGTATCGCCTCTCTAAAGTCAAGCTCCCGCCTACATGCTGTGGCACATCCACTTCCTGCAGGCCTGGGGCATCCTTGTGGGTTCTACCACCTGGGAAAGGTCAGGGAGCTCTGCTCTACAACTTCTGTAGTGGAAATACTCAAGTGTGTCTCAATTCCCAACGAAGTAAGAAAACATGTTTTTTTCCCATAAATATTTTTTAAAAGTTATACCTTCGTAGTTGAAAATGTCACTGGCGAGGTCATCAGAATCCTGCCTTCTGGGAACTAAAACACAAACATCCAGATCAGGGAGGCTGGGCTGGACACAGGACACATAGCCTGGCTGGGACTGAGTCTACAGGGCCCACTGAGGGAGCACGACACGCTGGCACCCACCAGGAATGGAGCCCCCTCCACGGTCAGGTCTGTCACCTCCCACTCCTAACGGGCTCTACAACACAAACCGGAATGAATGCTGGATGGAGAGGCCTGCCTTATGCCTCAGGGGTTACTATGCAAACTAATCCCAGCCACAATTTGTGGGGCGATGAGGAAGATGGTCTTGTTCATTCATTCTCTGACATAGGGAGGCCCCTCCTTCTCCTGGGATATTTTCTTCTGAAATAGGATGGGTGGAAACCAGAGTTATCAAGCCAGTGCCTGAGATTCTGGATGACCTTGGAGGCCTTCCTGTGAATAAACAGTGAACCCAGACAAAGCAATGGCTGGGACAGTCACAGGATTCCTGGCTTAGCAAAACTGGAGAGTGACTCTAACAAGCCAGCCAACCACTGAACTAATAAATGCTCACTCACACGTGAGCACCGATGTCAGAACCAGAGGGCCAAAGCCAAGGCTGCAATCAGTGCATGGCTACTGGCCCCGGGAGCTGTCCTCAAATGGGGCGGGCGGGGGGCGCAGATTTCCTCCCTCCACAGCAAGTCTTGCCCAGCGGAGCCCACTGCCTGGGAACTGGCCTTCAAGAAAGCTGGGTTGGACTTGCCAGTGCATCTGGACCACTCACCCCAGGCTCCCGATACATGCAGAGTCCTTTAAGCATAAAGGAGGAATGGGGCAGCTGCTGTCAGCGCTACAAAGCAAGCTAACACAAAGCTCAGGTTCAAGGACTGCAGTGGGAATGGAGGCGGGGATGGCAGAAGACAGAGGACGCAGCACAGGAGGGAGACAGCAAGGAGGACAGGGAACAAAGGAGACAGACCAGGGACGGAGAGGTGGGGTGGGGCAGTGAAGGCAGCACAGCAGGCAGAGGCCAGCTCAGAGAGAAGGAAGGGGCCTGAGCTG